CCCCCAGAGAGGAGGAGGAGCTCGCTCAGAGGCCTGGCCGGTTCCCAGATGGCTTATGCTCTTGACTGGTGTATCACAGCGCCCCAGGCCTTGGCTGAGCCAGGGCTCACGTTGAGTCCAGTTAGTGAGGCTGGGTAGGAGGATAGCAGTCCAGGAGGTGGGCAGGTGAGGGTCATGGTGGGATGCGGGATAGATTCTGCTTCCCATGGCTGTGCTGAGCCTCACTTTGTCCCCACAGCTCCCAGATGGTGGTGTGGCTGCCCAGGTCAGCTCTGCCCCGTGCTGTGATCAGGTATGGTCTGCTGAGTGGTTGTAGGGATAGGAGAACTGAGGTGAGGTGGTAGGTCCTAGGGTCAAAGCAACTAAGACCCATTTCCTTCCCCTGCACCCCACCAGGCACCCCGACTATGATGAGGAAGGCCTCTATGGGGCCATCCTGCCCCAAGTGGTGACTGCCGGCACCATCACTCGCCGGGCTGTGGAGCCCACGTGGCTCACTGCCAGCAATGCCCGGGTATGTGTCATCTGCACCTCTGGCCCCTGCTCTTCCTCTCCCAAGTCTGTAGAAACTCAGCTCTGAGGGCCTTTAGGTATTTAGCGAGGAGCATGAAAAGGATCCTGTGATCTGGGTCAGGCAGGACTCTAGTTCACTGCCTGACCCAGATCTTGGAGTGGATGGAAGACAGGAAAATCTGGCTTCATGATTCCTGTCCACTCCTTCAGTAAATGTGTTTTGGGCACCTGCTCCTGGCCAATGACAGGCGTAATAGCTACAGCTCTCATGGAATTTAGATGGGACCATGTAGGTGAGGGGTCTGGCATAGCGCTAAGCATAGAGTAGATTCTTTACCTGTCATCCCAATTGCTGATAGGTGGCTGTCTATAGAACTGTGGAGTTTCACCAGTGCTGTCTGGCATTCTCTAAAGCCATTCCCTTAGGAAAGGCTCTCAGTCAACTCTGGCTCCAGGAATAGGGTAGGAGGAGTCTCATTTGGGTATCTCACTCTTCCCACAGCCTGACCGAGTAGGCAGTGAGTTGAAAGCCATGGTGCAGGCCCCACCTGGCTACACCCTTGTGGGTGCTGATGTGGACTCTCAAGAGCTGTGGATTGCAGCTGTGCTTGGAGACGCCCACTTTGCCGGCATGCATGGTGAGCAGGAGCCGGGGTTGGGGCAGCCCAGCCCCTCAGGTAGCATATTGACAGTTCTGATGAACATTGGGCAGAATGTTCCTGAGTTTCTTTTCTCACTCCTGCTTCCAGGCTGCACAGCCTTTGGATGGATGACACTGCAGGGCAGGAAGAGCAGGGGCACTGATCTACACAGTAAGACAGCCACTACCGTGGGCATCAGCCGTGAGCATGCCAAAGTCTTCAACTACGGCCGCATCTATGGGGCTGGGCAGCCCTTTGCTGAGCGCTTACTAATGCAGTTTAACCACCGGCTCACGCAGCAGGAGGCAGCTGAGAAGGCCCAGCAGATGTACGCCGTAACCAAGGGCCTCCGCTGGTGAGGGTCCCTCTCCCATCCACTTTAACACCCAGGACCTGAGGCCTGCTTTACTGTCCTTTAGTACTCCCATCTGTTCTATCTCGTGCCCATTACTTGAACCCTCACCTAGCCGCTCTCCTTCTACAACTGTGTAACCTAGTTCCAGGATGATTTGTCCTGTTGTGATATTTGCTTGCTTTATAGTCAGCCTTAAATAGTTTTTCCTCATGGGAGTAAAGCTATACTTTTGGTTTACTGTCACCAAGTGGTAGCCTCTTGACAATTCTGATTATGCCGCATAATCAATAATACAGGGGTTGCAAACTCAGATGCCTACAGGGAATGAAAGCAAATGGAGTGGGTGGAAGACAGGAGTTGACAGGAGGGCGCTGTGGCAAACTGGAGCATGTAGGCTGATGTTGATACAGGAGAAAGCATTACCAGGCCTCCAGGTTACTTAGCCTAGTTCTCCAATTTGTTTCCTTTCATAGTACTGCATACTGTGTGCTCAGGGCCTTAGCAGACTCTGGAGGGTTCCAAAAGTGTGAGGGAAGAGAGGTACAACTTCCTGAGGTACAATACATTGTCCACATTCAATTAGCTGGCTCATTGTGGAAACTTTCTTATGAACAACTAAAAGTTTAAGTATGTGATAAATGATATAGTGGTTGATGACTGTAAATGCAGGAAAGGGGAGCTGAGTATCATCCAGTGGATAAAGTGAGGTTGGGTAAGGCTCATACGGTGAGCAGCGTGTGCTGGTAGAGGCAAGAAAGGTGGTGGGGCTTTAGTTGTGGACACCTTCAAAAGTGTCACAGGAGTTTGGACTGCGGGCGCAGGTAGTAGGGAAGCCGTTTATACAAGTGAGTGATGGGTCTCTGGAGCCTTCAGGCAACAAGCCTTGTGAAATCTGCAGGTTAGATGGAAGCTGAGTTGTCTAGGGTTGTGGCAGTTGAGAAGGGTAAGCCAGGCCTGGCTGTTGTGTTTTCTGCTTCAACAAATGCCCCCTCCCCTTCAGGGTAGCCTATTCTTACCCCATCCCCCCAAATCTAGAGTGATGGTCCTTGCTGTCTCCTGAATATAAGGCCCGTGTTGGTCATTGGGCAATTCAGTATCTAAAGAAACAGGACAGTAGGAATAGTGGTTGCTTGTGTGCTGGAGTCTTTGTCCTTTATTGGGCTACCATGGGGTGTCCCAGGCTTTGGAGCTACAAAAGCCTGGGCTGCATCTCTTTCTAGCTCCGTGATCCTAGGCAAGGCACTTAGCCTCTCTGAGCCTGTTTCTTCCTCTGAATAAAAGCCTTTAGGGGACTGGCATGATGCCAGTGTTTTTGAAAGTTGAAGTGATGTGAACATTCCACGCCAAGGCACTAGGTGTGACACAGGAAGCCCTCCTGTGGAATGATGGTGATAACAACGCTGCCCCCAGGTATCGGCTGTCGGATGAGGGCGAGTGGCTGGTGAGGGAGTTGCACCTCCCAGTGGACAGGACTGAGGGTGGCTGGATTTCCCTGCAGGATCTGCGCAAGGTCCAGAGAGAAGCTGCAAGGAAGTAAGAACCTGCTTTGTGTTAAGGATGGAGGGAGGGGTCTGGGCTTGCCCCAGAAGAGCTTGGATGCTTTGTTTTTCAGCTTTGAGATGCTGACAGACAGAGTATGCCCTCTGTTTCTGGTCCCTTAGGTCACACTGGAAGAAGTGGGAGGTGATTGCTGAACGGGCATGGAAGGGGGGCACAGAGTCAGAAATGTTCAATAAACTTGAAAGCATTGCTACGTCTGACATACCACGTACCCCGGTGCTGGGCTGCCGCATCAGCCGAGCCCTGGAGCCCTCGGCTGTCCAGGGAGAGGTATCTTGCTACCTTTGGAGCATAGGTAGAGGGGCCCCCGGGGAGGGCAGGGCAGGGCACAGGCTCCCTGTGGACCTTACCGATGTTCGTAGGTAGGGCCAGAGTGAAGCTTCTCTTGGGGCTTCTACCCTAGAGTTAATTGGTATGTAGCATAGCCCCTCTCACCTGTGCCCACCTTCCCTCCCCAGTTTATGACCAGCCGTGTGAATTGGGTGGTACAGAGCTCTGCTGTTGACTACTTACACCTCATGCTTGTGGCCATGAAGTGGCTGTTTGAAGAGTTTGCCATAGATGGGCGCTTCTGCATCAGCATCCATGACGAAGTTCGCTACCTGGTGCGGGAGGAGGACCGCTACCGTGCTGCCCTGGCCCTGCAGATCACCAACCTCTTGACCAGGTATGCGGGGCCCATGGCCTCTAGCCTGGCCATGTGCTCCTATGTGGGGCTTTGGGTGAGCGCTTCTTGGGCCAGACTGAGCAGTTTTAAGTTTTCATCCCCCTAGAAGTGAATGTTTCACCTTCTTATTTCTAATTTTTAAAAAGTTATAGAAGTCCTAAAAAGACTAGCCTGAATTTTTAAAAAAAGAGTTCTTGGGTTTGAAAATGTCAAATACCAAGACTGATCATTGAGGAAGCTGTGAGGTTAGGGGAATTATTTCAAAGGGTGGTACTCACACTTTTCTATTTTGAAAATCAAATGACAGAAGCCTTTTCTCATTTCATAGAAAATTGAGATGTTTTTCTTTCTCCCATAAATGTTTCCTTTCTTAAGTGCCAAAAGTTTGTTACTTGACTGCTAACAGAAAACATTGTTAATGGGGACACTCAAATGTGATTTTTTAAAAATATCTTATATATTTTATATATTGAGTTGTATTTTCTTGTAGTAAAATTCCTAGTTCTTATGGATGAATTAAATGATATTACCGTTCCATGTTGATCTGCCACTCAGAACCAGTTTGGGAACCATGATCTATCCTGATTATTGGGTAAATAAGAGATGTTTACAATATTCAACATTGTTTCCGTTGCCCTCTTAATCATCTCCGGGGGGTTATGCTTAACAAAGCTAAAAGTCCTCATTTATGCTTCAAACTCTGGCCCAATTGGAAGTGATTTCGTATATTAATAAAATGTACCAAACTGGAAGAAAAAAACAGTGTGTTGAGTCCATAATTGCATTTCAGTATCTCAGTGGGAGGTTAGGCTGCTGGATGGAAGACAGTGCTGGACCTTCACCTTTCTTGACTTAGCTAGGTGAACAGATGGGGTGTTGGACCAGGGGAAGCCCTGCTCTGAGGGGTGTGGGGTCATTGTTCCAGGAGTGATGCGTCTGTGTTCACAGGAGGGGCATGACTGTGAGGGGAGATTGGGTCTCTTTCAGGTGCATGTTTGCCTACAAGCTGGGTCTGAATGACTTGCCCCAGTCAGTCGCCTTTTTCAGTGCAGTTGATATTGACCGGTGCCTCAGGAAGGAAGTGACCATGGATTGTAAAACCCCTTCCAACCCAACTGGGATGGAAAGGAGATACGGGATTCCCCAGGGTGAGCACAACGCATTTGTTCCTCGTTACAAATAGGATCTGAGGTGGACTAGCAAGTGGGTTTTGGAGAACAGGAAGCTTGGGGCCCCAGAGATCACCCTCTTGATTCATGCTATATTCTAGGCTAATTTCAGTTTAGAAGGTGCCCTGTATCCACAATGAATGTGACATGATGTTTCAAAAATGAAGACAGCAGAGCTTCAAATATTCTACCTGTACCTGTCCCCTACTTCCAACCACAGCAGAAATGTTTAAAGAGGATTTATTCTATAGAGTGCATTCTTAGATGACAGAAAAACAAACTGTGCTTTAAATACCAAACAAATCAGAAAGCTTATTTTCTATTTAAAATGTATCTAAGACAGACTTATTTTATATAAAAAGAAAACAGACCCTCCTAACATGTAACATTACCATTCGTGACAATTGTTCTCAACCTTTCACTCTCCTTTTTGACCTTAGCATTAAGCTCCTTTGCTCACTTCTGAGCTCTCAGTTACAGTTATTGAGGTGGCATCCTAACCAATTTGCACTATTTTTCAGGTGAAGCGCTGGATATTTACCAGATAATTGAACTCACCAAAGGCTCCTTGGAAAAACGAAGCCAGCCTGGACCATAGCACTGCCTGGAGGCTCTGTATTTGCTCCCATGGAGCTTCGTCGGGGCGGTGCAGGCTCCCAAACTCAGGCTTTCAGCTGTGCTTTTTGCAAAAGGGCTTGCCTAAGGCCAGCCATTTTTCAGTAGCAGGACCTGCCAAGAAGATTCCTTCTAACTGAAGGTGCAGTTGAATTCAGTGGGTTCAGAACTAAGATGCCAACATCGGTGTGGGCTGTAGGACAAGGGGCATTGTTGCTTGTTGGGTAAAAACGAAGCAGAAGCCCCAAAGTTCACATTAACTCAGGCATTTCATTTATTTTTTCCTTTTCTTCTTGGCTGGTTCTTTGTTCTGTTCACCATGCTCTGATGCAGTGCCCTAGAAGGGAAAAGAAGTAATGCTCTAACGTGATAAACCTGCTCCAAAGCAGTGGAAATAAAAAGAAGAAGAAAAAAAAAACTATCTTCTCATCAAAGCCTGTGTTACTCATGCTTTCCCCCCATTCCCACTCACAGGAGGTAATTATGTTGAAGAAGAGGAAGGAGTCCTCCAAAGTGTAGAGTAAGGCAGTGCCACCTCCTTCTCTTAGGACTTTTGCTATACTGAGGAAACTCATGGGACAAAATGATAGAGAAGAAGCTATTGGCATCAAAATGCTACATGACTCTCCTGAGTGCAGCTGCCAAGTGGGTAAAGGGAATGGATGGGGCCCCTGGAGTGTGATCATCTGAAGAATGCATGTTCGAAATTCTTGAGAAGTCAGAAATCCAGGGCATTTGTATGTAAACTTCCAATTTTGAAATGGGAGTGGCCTACTGATTTGCTACGTATCAGACGATCCTAAGGTGAAAATTTTAGGTGCTAGAAGTTAAGGAAACATTTGGTTCTGTTTCAAAGATGATGCAGGGATGGGGATGTGGCACTGTCACTGGTAAGAGTAAAGAGAGAGGAACAAACCACAAGGGAAAAGGATAAGACACTGGCATGAATTGAAGAAAGAAGCCTTAACCCAAACTAATGAGTGGCCTTTGAATGAGGGCATGACTTGAGAAGTAAACTAGTTTCTGAGCCAGACTGCTATAGCTGGTCATCATCCAGTAGTTTAAAGGATAACAGGACGAGGACCCACAGCAGGACACTGTTTTGTTACCACCTGTTTCCTGGAAGTGTTTACCAAAAATGTATGCAAGTTGGGGCAACTTCATTGGTCCAAAGTTTACAGCCCTTCTGAGAGTCCTTGACTCTCATCTTTGCCAGATCACCTTTTAGTCCTTTCCCAGTCTGTTGCCCTTCCACTAATCTGTGACTGCTCCCAGATAGGCTGCTAATCAGCTAGGAAGAGTGGCTGGGATTCGCTGGGCTCCAGCAAGAAGCCAGCACTGACCTCTTCATTTTCGTCTTCGCCATCCTCTCGAAGAACCATGTCTAGGATGTTTCCTTTGATCTTGAAGTCTCGTGAGGTGCTGAGCTTCATGTGCTGCATCAGGTTCACCTGTGACAGGATTGTAAGCATGGGACATCTCCCTACTCATAGGTCCTGCCAGAACAGCTTAAGCTATTTTTAGTGCACCTCTGAGAAACCTTTCCGTTTCTACCTAAAGAAAGCACACACCCACACTTCCTTCTGTATGCTGGGGTTCAGACCATCAGATCAGGAACAGCAAAGAGGCTGAGTGTGGTGGCTCATGCCTGTAATCCCAGCACTTTGGGAGGCTGAGGTGGGAGGATCACTTCAGGCCAGGAGTTTGAGACCAGCCTGGGCAATACAGACCCCATCTCTACAAAAACAAACAAACCCGGAAAATTAGTAGGTGTGGTGGCATATGTCTGTAGTCCCAGCTATTCTGGAGGCTAAGGCCGAAAGATCACTTGAACCTGCACTCCAGCCTGGGTGACAGAATGAGACACCATCTCAAAAAAAAAAGGGTGGTGTGTGGGGGGGATGGCAAACACACAAACGGCTTAGAGTCTTTTCCTCTATTGTAGTTGTGCTGCTTTAGTTTGCTAGATCTGTCAAGAAGGTAAATGGGAATGGAAGGACATAATAAGAGAATGTTTACCTTGGACCTCTTAGAAAGGTGGATGAGAAATTTTTCATACTGTTCAATGGCAAAGATGAGGTTAGGGATTGGCTTGGTTTCCCGAAGAACTCTGGCCTAAGGGCAAGGAACATAAGACAAATTTCAGGTTGAACAGTTTTTGAAGTTTTCCTCTGAAGCTGTCACTTACAAAACTGTGTATGGCTTTGGGGGAAAAGTCTGTTTTCCAATCAAATGCAGTTTTACTTATATACCAGTAATCTAAAATTTTTGACAGTTCAATCTGGAAGGACCCAAATGCCAGTAGAGATAATTGCACTGATCCTCTCCATTTAAAATTCCAGTATTTGTTGTTATCTAGAGACTGGCTGAGGAGAGCAGGATCATTTGCAGAAATTTAGTTGTTTTTCTAACTTGAAATTCTTAAGCCTATTCTGACCCTAGCTCTATTTCCTTGTTCTGGTTTGGATACGAGGTTTCACTGCTGGGATTATATATCTTTCCCCCTAACTTGAATTGTAATTTGTAGGTCCTTATACATTTTTGTGTGTGTGTATATGTATATCTGTGTGTGTCTGTGTGTGTATATATATATTTGTATATATTTTTAACCCATGAGGATACTGTACACTTTTTTTTATTTTTATTTTTTTTGTGATGGAGTCTCACTCTGTCGCCCAGACTGGAGTGCAGTGGCCGGATCTCAGCTCACTGCAAGCTCCGCCTCCTGGGTTCACGCCATTCTCCTGCCTCAGCCTCCCAAGTAGCTGGGACTACAGGCGCCCACCACCTCGCCCGGCTAGTTTTTTGTATTTTTTAGTAGAGACGGGATTTCACCGTGTTAGCCAGGATGGTCTCGATCTCCTGACCTCGTGATCCACCCGTCTCGGCCTCCCAAAGTGCTGGGATTACAGGCTTGAGCCACTGCGCCCGGCCCACATTTTTTTTTTTAACATTATCTTGGAGCTAAATCCAGAGAGCCGAACATTTAGATGTTTATTTTTTTCATATCTCTCCAGCATAAATATACTATAACCTATTTAGCCAGTCCTCTATTAATGGATATCTTTGTTTCTAATATTTTACTTTTATGAATAATGTTGTGAGGACCATCCTGTACACAGGCCTGTATATCCTAAAAGTGAAACTGTTACATCAGAATGTATGTTTATCTTCTGAGATTCAGTAGTCATTGCTAAGCCTCTGGAGAGGCTGTACTAATTTTCACCTTTGCCAGCAATGTACTAAGTGCCTCCTTTCCTGTACCCCCTCTGACTCTTACACATCTTTTAGGGAGCACCTTTTGCATTCACCAACTTTACCTAAAAATAATTTCTCCCAATTGAGTATCACAAGTTATTTTACTATTTCTATTTCAACTCAAGGTTTTCTGATGCTTCCTGAATAAAATGTTTTTGGTTCAGAGGAAAAATAAGATGCTCCATCTGATCATAAAATCCCTGATTTGAGAAGCAGTCATGTATATAATACACACACACACTTTTTGGTAACAGCTTTATAGAGCTATATGCCATACAATTCACTCACAATGTACTTTTCAGTATTTTCAGAGTTGTGCAACCATCACCAGTCAATTCTAAAACATTTTCATCACCCCCAAAAGATATTCCATACCCTTTTTAGCTGTCACCCCAGTTTCCCCATCTCGAGCTACTACTAATCTAGTTTGCCTTTTTAGATTTATTTATTCTGGGCATTTCATGAAAATAGAATCATACAACATGTGGTCTTTTTGTCACTGGCTTCTTTCGCTTAATGTTTTCAGGGTTCACTAACAACCATATTTTAATGGTCAGTGTCAGCAGCTTACCATGGCGGTGGCAACGGTGGCAGGTTTCTCCTTTTTCTCTCCTGTATAGTTTAGGCTCTTACTCTTATTCTAAAGAAACAGAAACACATTCTCTTATTCCTGATGATTTTTCTGTAGAGCTAGCATGCTAGTGGTAATTTTTTTTTTCTTTTTCTTTTTGAGATGGAGTCTTGCTGTCATCCAGGCTGGTGTGCAGTGGTGCGATGTTGACTCACTGTAACCTCCGCCTCCCAAGTTAAGCGATTCTTGTGCCCCAGCTTCCCGAGTAGCTGGGACTACAGGCACGCGCCACCACACTCAGCTAATTTTTGTATTTTTAGTAGAGACGGGGTTTCGCCATGTTGGCCGGGCTGGTTTCGAACTCCTGGCCTCACGTGATCTGCCCACCTCAGCCTCCCAAAGTGCTGGGATTACAGGCCTGAGCCACCACGCCCACCAGCTAGTGGCAATTTTCTTAGAAGGTAATTACACAGGGTATGAAGGCCAAGTCTGGAATAGGATTATCTGTGTGACAGATGTTAGAAGATAGGGAAAAAATGTGATGCTTTGTAATCCTCAGATATTTTTCTTTTTTAATTGTTTACAATCTGTTGTTCTTAGAGCTGGCACGTGGAAGTTGAAGGCAGGACTATTACTGCACTGGGTCAGCCAAGGAGCTGGTGAAGTACTCTAAAGAGTGGTTAAAATGGGGACTGTCAAGGTGGTAGCAGGAATAGGCATTTCTATTTCTATTTTAGCCAGTGGACTAAAAGGATTCCATAAAGGAGAGGAAGCTGAGGAGGCTGCTGCAGGGCCCTGCAGTCTTCGCACTTACAAGCAATCACCAGATATATTTTATTTTCGTTACTCAGCAAAGCCAAAACTAGATACATTATATGTGCAATGGGTTATCATGCTCAAGAAGGGTTTAAAGGGTCACAGAACACTTCCCTGTGTTGTAAATTATTGGGTAATAAAGAGCTGGAGAGGGATGAAGAACTAATAAAAGGAACCAAAAGGTATAGGATTCTGATAATATCAAGACTTGAGTCAGGCGAGACGGGAGAAAAACCTACCCAAATGTAAGGTACAGAAATGTAGGAAGCTTTTTACCTCAAGGGGAGTTCTAAACCTTCTTAGGAAGGGAATATACCATACTCCACGAGGACAAGAGAATTAAAGAAACAGACCTGAAAATAAGAGAAGCTCTGCAACTGGAGCCATGAGAGAAACAGGTTTGTTCCACATGTCATGTTCTGGAAAATGAACTGTAGACATTCCAGAGGGGCTGGTATGTAGGAATCTGTTTTTGGCCCTGGAAGGCAGGGTAGAGGATGGTAGAGGGTGAAGCCCTATTAAGTCGGGGGCAAGGAAGCAGTCACAGATCAACCTCACTGACCAAGTGGGAAGTGAACCATCTTCCCAGAGGTTGTGTCCAAGATGGGACCCCGTTCAACTCCTTAGATCAACCCTGTTCCCTGCCCATTGCAACTGATCCAGGCAGGACTAAAATTAGAGCCAGAAGAGAAGCATCTTTTTTTTTTTTGAGATGGAGTTTCACCCTGTCGCCCAGGCTGAAGTACAATGGTGTGATCTTGGCTCACTGCAACCTCTGCCTCCCAGGTTCAAGCGATTCTCCTGCCTCAGCTTCCTGAGTAGCTGGGATTACAGGCATGTACTACCACGCCCCGCTTTTTTTTTTCTTTTTTTTTGAGACAGAGTCATGCTCTGTTGCCCAGGCTAGAGTGCAGTGGCATGATCTTTTCTCACTGCAACCTCCACCTCCTGGGTTCAAGTAATTCTGCCTCAGCCTCCCGAGTAGCTGGGATTACAGGTGCCTGCCACCATGCCCAGCTAATTTTTGTATTTTTTTAGTAGAGATGGGGTTTCACCATGTTGGCCAGGCTAGTCTCGAACTCCAGACCTTGTGATCCACCTGCCTCAGCCTCCCAAAGTGCTGGGATTACAGGTGTGAGCCACCGTGCCCGGCTATTTTTTGTATCTTTAGTAGAGATGGGGTTTTGCCATGTTGGCCAGGCTGGTCTCGAACTCTGGACCTCGTGATTCTCCCACCTCAGCCTCCCAAAGTGCTAGGATTACAGGCATGAGCCAGGCACCCGGCCCTTGAGAAGCATCTTTTAAAGGTATACAGTTCTAGGCAGAATGTTAAGAGTTGGTGCAATGGTTTTCGTTGCTTTCTTCCCATTGAGATCTAAGGAACTGGGGAAATGAAGAGGGGGCTACAAGAGAATAACAGTTCACTGAGAGATGTGGAAAATGCAATCCCCATTTCTAGATAAGGGTTGGAGTTAATGGAACCATGCATGGGCTCTTGCCCAGGGGTATTCATTAAGTACATCTCACAAAAACAGAAAAATGTAAAATGTTTGCCTGCAGATCAGCTGATTTGTCAGTAAGGCTTTAAATCAAATATGGATGGAGGAGGAGGAATGCCCAGGGAGGAAATGAAACTGATTACTGTGTAATGAGGGGAAAATAATAGTCTAGGAAGTAGTAGTGATTCCCAGAAGAAAATGCTTGAGAATGGGGTCAGAAACACGAAAATCCAAAACCTTGCAACATTTTACATGTCAACAAGTATCAGGTATGACTCTAGAGCAATGGTTGGCTAATTAAAGACCATAGTATAAATCTGGCCCATGGCCTGTTTTTGACAAGAAAATTTCATTGGAACATAGCCATGCTCGTTTATTTGTATGTTGTCTATGGCTGCTTTTTATGTTCTAATAGTAGAGTAGGTGTGATAGAGACTGTATGACCCACATTTACTATCTGGCCCTTTACAGAGAAAGTGTGCCAATTCCTGCTATCGAGTCTAACTAGCTGGGTTCAAGTCTCAGATCTGCCTTTTACTCATGGTCTGTTCTTGGGCATTCTGATTAACCTTTCTAAATCTTTTCTCATCATGCATATGGGGATAACTACTAATCAAAACCTATAGCTAGGATGAATGAGATGATGTATGAAGAAAGCTTAACACATCAGACACAAGGTAGAGGTTCTCTAAGTATTACCTGTTCTAATAAAATGATTAGACAATGTGACTTTTGAATCACAACAAGGGTAGTAAATAGGATCTAACAGCAGTATTTCCCAGACTGTACTCTATGGAACATTATTCTGCCAAATAGTAGTAACATTTGTTATTTTTAAAAAAATGTTCTTGAATAGGTCTGAAAACTACTAATGAACATACTGTTGGAACTCTCAGCGTTGTTTTTATTTTTCTTGATACAGGGTCTCACTCTGTTGCCCTGGAGTACAGTGGCATGATCATGGCTCACTGCAGCCTTCAAGTCCTGGGCTCAAGTGATCTTCCTGCCTCAGCCTCCCAAGTAGCTGGGACTATAGGCAAATACCTGGCTAAATTTTAAATTTTTTGTAGAGATGGGGTCTCACTATGTTGCCCAGGCTGGTCTTGAACTCCTGGCCTCAAGTGATCTTTTTACCTCCATTAACCACCATGGCTGGTCTCAGCGCCTTTAATATGCAAATGGACACCATGAATCTCTAAGGTGAGAGATACGGTATGAGCATCTCTCCCTGAATTCCTTTTTTTGAGGACTGTCTCAGTCTATATAGGATATTTTGTGAAATGTGGCTTTATAGGTAACCTTAAGACTTGGAGATGAGGAAACTCAAAACCCAAATACGGTAATGGACAGATATATATCCAACAGATTTGTTTGACGAATGGCACCCACATGAAAATTTACAAGCATGAGGTTTAAGAAAGCATTCCTGCAAGCATTTGGGTGAGATAAAAGGAGAGGACCAGAAGTAATAGCTTTATGACAGTTGACTACTGGCTGGATGGCTGGATATAGAAAATGGATGATGATGCATTCCTGACCCAGATCACAAAACTGATACAAAGACAAGGTGACAGGGAGTCTCAGCTATCAGTCCATTACTAAGAACTCCTTCAGCTAAACCCAGATGATAGCCCACTTGATGGCTGATTCTTTTTTTTTTTTTTTTTTTTTTTTGAGATGGATTCCCTCTGTTGCCCAGAGCGGAGTGCAATGGCGCGATCTTTGCTCACTGCAATCTCCGCCCTCCAGGTTCAAGCGATTCTCCTGCCTCAGCCTCCCAAGTAGCTGGGATTACAGGTGCCCACCACCATGCTCAGCTAATTTTTTGTATTTTTATTAGAGATGGGGTTTCACCAGATTGGCCAGGCTGGTCTCGAAGTCCTGACCTCAGGTGATCCACCCGCCTTAACCTCCCAAAGTGCTGGAATTACAGGCGTAAGCCACCGTGCCCAGCCGATTGCTGATTCTTAAAGGGAGGGGAAGAGGCACCCTGAATACACATACTGAGGCAAGTTACCGATAAAATGATATTGTGCCTGTAAGTGATGCAGAGGCAGAAAACAAGTGAAGCATCACTATCAAAGTGGTCACAATTCATTGCTTTAATAATTGGTTCTAGAATCTTGGTTGAGATTGACACTTAGTGGACCCATTCTCTTTGATTCCTCAAAGATCAGTAACAGCCCTGTGATACATTTACTGCATGACTAAGTGGCCTTAGGAGACAGTAGATCTCTCGTTTCTTCCTCTTTCCAACCAGGGGTGATTCTGTCCCTTAAGGACAACTGGCAATTTCTGGAGACATTTTTGGCTGTTACAACTAGGGGGCTGCTATTGGCATCCGGTAGGTGGAGGCCAGGGATGCTGCTCAACATCCCAAAATGCACAGAACAGGTCCCACAGCAAAGAATTATCTAGCCCAACATGTCAATAGTGGTGAGGTTAAAAAACTCTGGTTTAAGCAAACAGTAAAGGAGATTCAAGTACTGCCGGAATCTGATGGTATTTAGGACCAAATGACACCTACAAAGCCCACGTCCTTCCACTTCCCTGAAAGTGCCCTCACTGCACTGCCATCTCCTCACAGCCCTTCTTCATGTGCTTGCTGCTACTCTGCTCACACTCCCAGAGGATGCCTCATGGCATGGACTTTCAGTCACCCAGGAATAAACCAAGTCCATGAGCCCAAGCATGCTTTTTCCTTCCTTGCTCCAAATGCAAACATATATGCTTCCTTTCTCCAAATTAAGTGAAACAGTTTTCTTTACATAAATAAAGATCTCCTTGCTCCAAAGCCCTCAAGCCTTGACTTGGTCTCTGATGGGTGCCTCCAGCTTGTGGTAAGCAAGGGAAAAAGTTTATATATGCTCAGTTCAGGTGATCAATAGTCCCCTGGGCATGTAAGAAATCCTTTCTTGAAGACCTATTGGGTACTGCCTCTGAATCACTTACCTGTACATAAGAAATGAAAGAATAACACACAGGGGTCAGATGAGAACCAGACAGCTTCACCTGCAACAAGGGAAAACGAAACCAATGTAACCAGCAATAAAAGTGCTTCCCCCATTCCTAGGAAAGACATTCTCAACTCACCAGCTTTTCCATATTTTTTGGAATTCCTCCAGAGCTCTGACACACCTGGAGATACTAATAAAAAAAGATTACTAGATTTAGCAGACTATCCTATGAAGCTACAAGTGACTGCTGTAGTGAGCTTATGGAGTGTGACTCATCATTCTGACTGAAGAGGGAAAAGAAAAATTCACAGAGAAGCCAAGACACAAGGCTTCCTTATTCCTCTCCTCCAAAGCTCCTAAGCTTCCCAGACAATAGGTAATGAAGGGTTTGTTTCTGACTTGCTCATTTCTTTAAAAATTCCTCAGGTTGATAGTCCCTGTATATAAAACCCAACTACTTTGCTGTTTTTCCTTTTAAAGATGCCAAGAAAGAGAAGAGGCTCTCGGTGTTTCCACTACAGCAGCTTAGCCACATGTAGCTAGAGCTGCACATTCTGAGAGAGCCACACTGTTGTGATGCAGGGTGGTCCACATCTTTCTTGGGTTATCTGTGCCTTTCTAAGTATTTAATATGGATCGTTGCTAGAAACACAAACAGTAAGGGCAGGGTACGCCTTGTATTTTTATAAAAAACAATTGTCTTCCCCACCTTAGTACTTGATCTATAAGGCATTTAACACCTACATGTTAAAGGAATGAAAAAAGGAATAAACACCTCTTTAGTGTCCAGACTGGTTAGAAATGGTATAATTTCTATGCATTATGGGCTCAGATTTAATTCTAGGATTGTTTTAGATTAAACCTTAGAAGGTATTTAAAAGAGGCATTCATTCTCAATCAGGTGCCACATACATGCCAAGGAATTAAAGGCCTCCAAAAGCAGATTTTTATTTTTATTTTTTTATTTTTGAGATGGGGTCTCTGTTGCCAAGGCTGGAGTGCAGTGGCACAATCTCAGCTCACTGCAACCTCCACCTCCCGGGTTCAAGTGATTCTCCTGCCTCAGCCTCCTGAGTAGCTGGGATTACAGGTGCCCGCCACCACGCCCGGCTAATTTTTGTATTTTTAGTAGAGACGGGGTTTCACCATGTTGGCCAGGCTGGTCTTGAACTCCTGACCTCAGGTGATCCACCCGCCTCAGCCTCCCAAAGTGCTGGGATTATAGGCATGAGCCACCATGTCTGACCCAAAAGCAGATCAGAATTATAAACTCTTTTTCCCTGGCTTGTGGAGATGCCTGCCACGTACTGACCAAACTAAAATGAAACCATGACCTGCCAAGATGGAGGCAAACGCTCTCTTGTTTGGGGACATTCTGCAGCAGTGGGCTACTGCCCCAGCCTCATCTCCTGGCTCACTGGGGTAGAATGGTGGGGGTGAATCTGCTTGTCGCAAATACTTACATATCTGACAAGTGCTGTAAGTGTGGTGTACATTTTGCACAAGTCCTTTAACAAGGTGTCCACACAGCTGCCTGATGGCAGAGCTGTCTGCACCAGCTCATGGAAAAATGTAAGCAGAGTTCCCAGTTGCATGACGATGGCTTTCTCGACAGGCTGATTTGGCAGAGTTGTCTGAGAAGAGGCCTCTTCTAAAGAAAAATAAAATTGGCACATTCAAACCCAACTTCATTTTCTAGTTAAGAGTAAAGGAGATTTAGAAATTGATTACTACTAACTAAAAAGTCTTTATGGAAAAATGAACATTCAATATGCAGAGTGAATTAATAATTGTACTGTGATAAGACATACGATCTTCTACTTCTTTCATCACATAGGAAAAAATCTAGCTTAAAAGCAAATAAGAAATTTAGCTCAGGGGCTCCATTTTTATGCACTAGCCCAGTATGAATTTTGACCTTGCTCATGTCAATTCCTGGAATCCCAGTTGAACTTATCTTACCTGATACAGTTTCTTGGCTCACTTGTCCCTTAAGCTTGGTGATTAGCCAGTCCACTTCTTCTAGAACCTTCTCGGCCTGACTCAGAACAAGTAACTGAAAGAAAAGAATGCCTGGTGTGATTCACTACACACAGCTGTCGGGGTAATATAATAACTGTGGTCACCTGGCCACCTACAGGTGGGTTACAGGTCTCAGGACACAAGCCACTATAGGACACAAGTCACTTCACATAGAGTAGAATGGAAGGAATGACAAAGCTATTCTCCATGGCTCAGGTACAACACTTACACAGATAGTGGGGGCAGCCGTTCTCAAATTCACTATTGCAAAGTGGTTTGTTTTCTCCACCTCTACATCCTGGGGAAAAAAGAGAGGTGAGACCTAATGACAGTAAGGTTGTTCCCTTGACCCCCATCCCCACACAGGGTATTGTACTGAAGGCTCATTATAGTACCTGGTCTATATCTCCCAGATGCCCATGGATATCCTGGGACAAGTCACGCAGCAGAATGACAGGACTCTTATACAAAACATGCAGGCTGAAGAGCAAGTTCATCAAGCTCTTGCAAAACAAGGCATCCTCTAGGAATAGGAAGAAAAGCAAATTAAAAGGTAAGTTATGGCCAGGCGTGGTGGCTCACGCCTGTCATCCCAGCACCTTGGGAGGCCAAGGCAGGTGGATCACCTGAGGTCAGGAGTTCGAGACCAGCCTGACCAACATGGAGACACCCCATCTCTACTAAAAACACAGAATTCGCTGGGCGTGGTGGCGCATGCCTGTAATCCCAGCTACTTGGGAGGCTGAGGCAGAAGAATTGCTTGAACCCAGGAGGCAGAGGCTGTGGTGAGCCAAGATTGTGCCATTGCATTCTAGCCTGGGCAACAAGAGCAAAACTCTGTCTCAAAAAAAAAAAAAAAAAAAAAAAAAGAAAGGGAAAAAAAAGGTAAGTTATAACCCAGTCAGGTCCCTCAGGTATGTGTACAGGGTATGTGGGGTGGAGTGCCTAACCAGAACAGGAAGTAACTTGTCATGTCCCAGGCACAACATCCCAGTGTTACACATACTACAGCCAAGCAGTTAGTCTGCAATGATGCCTCTTTATCCATGTGCCCAAGGAAGGCAGACATTTCCCATCATTAGTCATGATTACTGTGTAACTCGCATCCAGATCAAGTACATTCCGAGTATTTTAGGGACTCCCTCCTAACTTGCCCCACCAAGGAAACTGCTATCCTGACTTCTAACATCTCAGATGAATTTTGTCTAATTTTGAACTTCATCTAAATGGAATTCTACAGTAAGTACCCTTTTTTTCTATCTGGCTTCTTTTGTCTTACAGTACGTTTGTGAGATCCTCTCCAAGTTGTGTGTACATGTAGTTTGTTCATGCTCATTTGCTGTATAGGATTCCACTGTGTGAATATATCATAATTCTTTTATCCTTTCTACTGCTGATGAACACTTAGGTTTGTTTTTACCTATTAAAATAGTGCTGCTAAGAGGACTCTTCCACATTTTTCTGTTGTGGCTGGAATTGTTGAGTCATGGGCATATATTTAATTTTAGTAGATATTGCTGAACAGCTTTCCAGAGTGGTTATACCAGTTTATACCTCCACCCCCAGTGAATGAAAGGCCCAACTACTCTATATTCTTGCCAACACTTAAACTTGGTATTAGGTGTCTGTTTCATTTTGACCACTCTGGTGAATGTGTAATGAATGGGGAATACCTTTTCTTTTCCCAATGCCATTGGAGGACAGTGATTTTATATAAAGCCTTTAGGAAAACATGGCAGGAAACTTACCCCGGCTGTTTTCCTTGCAGATCTTTGATGTCCAGGATAACATCTGCACAAACTAAATTAGAGATCATTCAGATATTAAAGAAACATGCCAGAGATAGACCTAGGTGTTGTCAGAAGAGTTCTAGACCTTTCCCTGTCTAAGCAAATCAGCTGCTAAAATATGTTCTTAGATCTCAAGTGGTAATATATGACGAAGGGCATAAAAATAAGTCCAAAATTCTAAGAATTATGAGAATAATATATAATTTAATTCTCAATGTCTATGTCCTTATTGAGGGCCAAAAGTTTTGGGGTCCTTACACCTGAACTTCCTCTGCTTCTACCATAGTGGTCTAGGGCTAAAGCACCCTCTTTTCTTTCCCGTGCACCCAGACTCTCCACTTGAGAATATCAGGTTATCAGAAAGATGTGGGAAAGAGAAATCCTGGCTATAAGAACAGTAGAATTAGCATTTAGAAGCCGAAAGAACAAAGGAGGTTAGAAGAGAGAAGGGCAGAAAAAAGAGAAATAAAAGAGTCAAGAAACCAGACAGAATTTTCTTAGCTAAGTGAAGGGGACTTAAGGTCTTTAGATAGCAAGGGTCTGCATCACCAGACACACAGTCACCTTTCTGCTTCAGCAGTTCTTTCAGCTACAAAGGCACTGAAATGCGGTTATACTTAAGTGTAAATGACTAACAAGAATGCAGTTTTGATCTGTTGAGAAAAAAGGTAAATTAAGAGGCTAACTGAAAGCTCTCTACAAACTGATATTAAAAGATCTTCAGAATACTATGTTCAATGAAATAAGCAGGATGTACAAGTTTTCCTGTGAAGAGGGGTAGGATTGGGAATAAAACTCTGTATTTACTTGGAGAGGAATAAAGAAGGTTGAAGGACACAAAAAACTAAAGGTGTTTACTTATGGGGGAGAGGAGGAACTAAACAGATGGAGGACATGGGTGGGGGAGACCATTCACCATAAATCTCTTGATAATCTCTGGTTTTCAAATCACAGGACTTTATTACCAATTCAAAATTAAATGGAAAAATTTTTGGCCGGGCACGGTGGCTCACGCCTGTAATCCCAGCACTTTGGGAGGCCGAGGCAGGTGGATCACGAGGTCAGCAGATCCAGATCATCCTGGCTAACACGGTGAAACCCCGTCTCTACTAAAAATATAAAAAATTAGCCGGGCATGGTGGCGGGCACCTGTAGTCCCAGCTACTCAGGAGGCTGAGGCAGAAGAATGGCAAGAACCCAGGAGGCGGAGCTTGCAGTGAGCCGAGACTGCGCCACTGCACTCCAGTCTGGGTGACAGAGCAAGACTCCATCTCAAAAAAAAAAAAAAAAAAAAAATTTAAAGAGACTACCTGAAGTTAAGGGAGAAGGGGTAGGTGGTAAAACATTTAAAAATCTAAAAGTTTAAAGTTTAAGAAAGAAACATTTTTTAATTTTCCTATAAATTTTAGCCTTTCTAAATCCATTTATTTTCTCTCAAATTTCCCCCTGCCCCAATTATCTATTTCCTTCCCAGTCCTTTACTCTTTGCAGCAAAAACAGCAGTATGAAATAATGATGCTGAAAGCAAAGTGGGGGTGAGCTGTTTGGAACTGGCATGAAGTAACAAAAGGGACTTTCTTTGGGCAAACCTGGAAGTAGGACGACAGGAAACAGCTCTGCTTTCTAGTGCCAAACACCTTCATACTCAGAAGGCTACAAGTCTTCTGAGGCAAGGGCTCACATAAAGAGGAGTATACTGCAGGGCTTCATTGTCTTTCTCAAGCCCAGGATGTAGATGTGGTAGGAGCACACAGTCCTGGGCTCCGGTAGGTACTGTATCATCCTACAGGAAAATTACTCCTGAATGGAACAGACCCCCAACATGCGGTCCTTCTCTTATTCTTGTGTGTGCTCATGTGGGTGCACACTTACACATATATACATACAACCTATCTCTGCAGAGGTGTTTCTGCTTTGGGGATATAGTTACACTTTCTGAATTAATCATCTTTGGTTGAATTTCCTCCAAAGTCAGTACCAGGTAATTGTGCTGAGAAAGTCAGCTGCTGAATGTCAACTGCCTTCTTCATAATTAACAGACTTTCTTCTTAGAAAAGGGGAAACATCAAGAGTGGCAAAGAACACAGGTTTAAGAAGGTTGAAGGCACCAAAGATCACACAGGATTCTTTCCGTGGTGTTTCACTCTACCCGGAACAAACAAAACAAAAGCAGTATGTTCTTGCCCTGTATGGCTGCATATAAGTATGTTGTGGTAGACATATTACGTAGGAAAGAATATATCTTACAGGTCTTATATTAACTCAGGTGTATAATTTAACATATTATGTAAAATAAGTTCAACTTCAAGAGGACATTTAGATATACACTTTTATGATGCAATAATCCTTGCCTTCTAAGGAATGCTAAATGGAATTGAGTGGTACTAGTACCTGAGGAGAGGAGGGCTCCAGTAGCTTGGACAAACTGGTAAGAACAGTGACTAGCAGGAGGGCTTCTTTGCTATTAAAATCTTCCTCTTGGCTGCTAAGTAAATTCAACAAGGACCTCTGAGAAAGGAAGGCACACACAGCAAGCAAGGTTAGCAGACACAATCCTATCAGGAAGAAGAGGCATCTAGTCAGAGACTCCTAAGACTAGGACACAAAGAATTCAAAGCTACCAAAATTCCAAGAGGATAAAATCTGAAAATAATCCTGAATTGAGCAGTAGTTTCCTAAGCTGTTTTTGACCATAAACCTCTCTGAGAATTCTCCTGAAAACTGGCTCTTTCTGTTCCAACCCCATGCTAAATGTAGATAAGGAACTATGTACCCAATTTCTGGTGGCTCACAGCTCCCTGGAGCCTATCCATTGATCTCAGGCTTAGACCAGGCACCAAACCCAGCGTTCCTTATATACCTTCCCTGTTACCTGAAATAAGTATGTATTTGATTATTTGTCAGTGTCTTTCTACTATAATGTAAGCTCCATAAGGATAGGAATATTTTGTTTCTTTTATTCCCTGCTATATCCCCAGCACCTAGAACTGTTTCTGGCACATGGTAGGAACTTCAAAATTACTTGTTAAATAAAAAAGTCCTGTGATAGAACATCCTGATATTTTGACAACTATTGGTTAGAAACTAACAAGCTATGCAGTGAGCTGAGATCCGGCCACTGCATTCCAGCCTGGGCGACAGAGCCAGACTCCGTCTCAAAAAAAAAAAAAGAAACTAACAAGCTATATTGTCCAGTCTTTACGGAGTCTATCAGACCAAGCCAAATTATACCACAGACTCAGAAACAAAAACAGACTCTATACCTTGAAGATTCCTTTCTGTTTACATCAACTCAAACAGTGGTCCTTGGAGGTAATGAGTATTGCAGGTTGGGTGGCTAAATACACATCCTCACTATACATTATCTTCCATTCTGAGAGCTATGTCCTGTGGCTTGGATGACCCAGAAAAAATTCATTTCCTACTTGGTCACTGTCTGCCCATTCTTACCAGCTGCCCCTGCTAACAGTTCCTTTGCAAAGCCCCTCAGGCTGCTACAGCAGCTTCGCAAGGCTTCTCACCTGAAATTGCCGGATCTGGAATGCTGTTCTCTGAGTGACACTGACGTCTGCGTCTTCTCTCTCTTCTCCTTCCTTATCTGTGACATCTATGAATGGAAAAGAAACTCTGTCTTCTTTGATATAAACTCATGCTTCTTGGCCTTTTAATAGCTAAAATTTTTGAAAGCCAAAAAAAGTCTAAAGGCAGAGTTAAATTTATTTCTAAAATTTTGTGATTTCTTAATACTATATTCCATTTTCCAGTCACTCTTTATGGTTGAATATAATCCAGTAGGTGCCAATCCTGAATCCACTAGATGTCACTCCTTAGCAACATTAGGACTGTTCTCAAGTGTCTTCTGGTAGATTAACAAATGGAATTAAGGGGTTGAGTTAAGGAGAAACCTAAATCAAGTCAATTTATTGATACTGCAATGCTCACCCAGAGCTCTGAGAAACTGCTGAATCTTGGGCTGATAGAACTGTTGCACAGCACTGAATATTTTCTGTAAACCCTCCAAGCACAGCAGTGAGATGCTCTTTCCTTTCTCTTTCTTTCCCGACTCTTCCACTGAAGTAGGAATTGAAGTGTATCTCCATAGCAAGACTCTGAAGCAGGGTAAAGTGGTTTTGTTTTTAAAGACAGGTTCACCAAGATAAAATTACATACAGTAAAATTCATACCCTGTAGGTGAACAGTTCTAGAATTTTAAAAAAACTTATATGGTTGTGTAATCTCCCCACAATCAAGGTATTTCTATCACTCTAAAAGTTCCCTTATGCTCACTGATAGTCTATGCTCTCCTCCCATTTCCAAGCAACTACTGATCTAATTTCTGTCCCTATGGTTTTACTTTCTACAAAACATCATACAAAAATGGTTATCATTCAGTATATAGCCTTCTGAGTCTGCCTTTAACACAGCAGACTCTATATTCATGAGGGATATTGCTATGCAGTTTTCTTGCAATGGTCTGGGTCTGGTTTAGTATCAGGGTAATGCTGACCTCATTAACTAAATGAGGTGGAATATGTTCTCTCTTATTTTCTAGAATTTGCACAGAATTTACATTACTTCTCCCTTAAATGTTTGGATGAATTTATCACTGAATAGACCTAGATCTGAAGTTTTGTGAAAAGAGTTTGAACCACATATTCAATTTCTTTGAATAGAAATATGATTACTCAGGTTTGTTTTTTTTTTTGAGACAGAGTCTTACTCTGTCACCCAGGCTGGAGTACAGTCAGGTGATCTCAGCTCACTGCAAACTCACACCTCCTGGATTCAAGTGGTCTTCCTGCCTCAGCTTCCCGAGTAGCTGGGACTACAAGTGCATGCCACCACATCTGGCTAATTTTTGTATTTTTTTAGTAGAGTTGGGGTTTCACCTTGTTGGCCAGGCTGGTCTTGAACTGCTGACCTCAGGTGATCCACCTGCCTTGGCCTCCCAAAAGTGCTGGGATTACAGATGTGAGCTACCACGTCTGGCCAGGTTGCCTATTTTTTGTTGAATGAGCTTTCAAGAAATCTGTCTATTAAAGTTTACTGGCATAAAATTGTTAATATTCTGTTATCCATTTTTTTTTTTTTTTTTTT